TCCTAGTTTTTATATAGTACCTGACACATAGGTGATACTGAAAAAAATACTTGTTGAATAAGTGAATGTGTGAAATAGACATGAGTAGGTAGAACAGGGATGATGAAAATATCAAAGAGAGACTTTAGCTCTGTCAAATGTTTGGCCTGTGACTATCCCGTTTAACGAATAATTTTTATAAAAGGATGATTTTTTTTCTGTTTCTGTGTGGAGAGAGAAGTTAACAGGCAAATGCAAAGAGAAAACTACTTGTATTTTATCACCTCCTTCCTATGCTTGTTGGATCTACTACTATATTAAGTCAACTAATTGATACAGCTGAGAAAAAGTGCCTTCAAATAACAAAAGATACGACTAATTGTACTTAATTTTTACTCATGAATTTACACAAGTTTCTTGCAAGTTCAGATATCTTATGTGTGACACATAAATTATAAAGGCTTATCAAATATGTGATGTGTTACTGGATGTGTCAGTTCAGAGCATACATATTTATCATGAGACAGACTGGGGGAAATCAGCCTAAGGAAGGAAATTTTGGATGGAAATTACAGATTATATAGTTCTAGTTAGAAACTTCTAAAAACTGTCCTTGGAAGCAGATGAATGAACCTTTATAACTTCTTTCTCATGGAAAAGCCCTAACCTTCCACTGTGATAGACTATAGCAGAACTGGAATAGGTATTGGCCCTTAACCAGATTTTAAAACGTGTGTTGGTAGAGTGGGAGATCTGGAGCCCCAAAGTGGACTCCTTTAGAGCCATGAAGTAGAAAATAGTTTTCTTTTTCCAGAGTGATTTTTGCAGTTTTTTCAAACCATATTTGAGAATATAAACTGTTTTGAATCCAATAAATGTAAACAATGTGTAGTTGTTGTCAGAGCCTGACTAACCAAGTACTTAGACTAAAAGTTTTCAGGCTTCATGACCTTTGGGTAACAGTTCAAGCAAATGCAGAAGGGCAGAACAGCAAACAAGAGTGTCCCAAGCCTTGTAATGTCAGTTCAGGGCACTGGAAAGCTGAGAACAATTTGGTAACAGGAATAAAAATGCACTGATTTTTTTTCTCTTTGAAGTTTAGAATAAATGTAGGAAATGAATATTTCTAGGACCTTAGTATAAAATATATGTAAATTTTCTCTCATTAAGAAAATTAAATATTTGCAAAGAGTGTCCATAGCTTCCACTGAAATTGGGGTCAGTGCCGTGGTATAGTGGGTAAAGCCTCTGCCTACAGTGCCAGTATCCCATATAGGCACCGGTTCTAGTCCTGGCTGCTCCACTTCCAATCCAGCTCTCTGCTATGGCCTGGAAAAGCAGTGGAAGATGGCCCACCCTTGAGCCCCTGTACCTGTGTGGGAGACCCAGAGGAAGCTCCTGGCTCCTAGCTTTGGATCGGTACGGCTCTAGCTGTTGTGGCCAGTTGGGGAGTGAACCAGCGGATGGAAGACCTCTCTCTCTCTCTCTGCCTCTCTTTCTCTTGTATAACTCTGATTTTCAAATAAATAAAAAGATCTTTAAAAAATTATTTCATGAAACATTTGGAAGTTTTCATATAAATTATAACCTGGAGGACAAGCTCTTCTAATAGTAGTATTAAGGATAAATGAGATTTTGCGATGCAAAATTACAAGCAAATGTAATATCTTCATTTCTGTGGGTCAGGAAACCAGTAGTAGTTTACCTGGGTGGTTTTGTCTTAGAGGCTCTTCTGAGGTTACATCAGGATGTCAGCTGGGACTGCAGTTATCTGAGGCGTAACTGGTATGGGAGAATCTGCTTCTAAGAAAGTTCACTCATGGCTATTAGCTAGAGGCCTCCGTTTCTTATCTTTTGACCCTCTTTTCAGAATGTAACAACTTCCCAGAGCAGAGAGAGAGAGAGGGAGGGAGAGAGAGAGGGAGAGGGGACCTTTTTAGTTCCCAAAACCACACACCACCTCTGCCATTTTACTAATTAGAAGCAAGTTACTAAGTCCAGTGTGCACCCGGGGTAAGGAAATTAGGTTCTTCTTGAAGAGAGGACTATCAAGTATCTATGAACATATTTTTAAAATCACCAGATAATCAAATGTTAGATAGTTACTTTAGACACCAACAAGTTATCATATTACCATATTTAGGCTGAAGAATATTTTATCTGTGACCTTAAAGCTTTATTTCCCTTTGAGCAAATGACACAGGGTTAAATATACAAAATCAAATAATGTTCAAACCATTATCACACATTGTGTCCAAATTCAATATAATAATAGCTGTGTTAGTTATTTCCTTCCCAAGCTCTCCCAACCCCACCCAACTGCCTATTCCAGTTCTTACAGTCCATATCCATTCCTTTCTTATGACAAATATAGGAAATACCATACTCCCACAATCCATAGCTAAACCTTTTTATTGTGGCACTTTGTCAGAAGGTGTTGAAAGTTCAAATAAATTCATACTCCAAAATTATATGCAGTTGCCCTTGTCTTCTAATTTAGACCCCAGCAAAGTTTAGTAGAGTCCTATGGCATGTTTCCCTTTTAGAAGTTGGGTTGCTTTTGTTCTAGTAAGGTAAATTTGCTTATAAGCTCAGTGAACCATAGATACTCTGTGCTCTTCAAACTCTAAAACTGCTTGATGTATTTAAAGGTGCATGGATCCCTGAATAAACTATGATATGTTAATTAGCTTGTTTATTTGAAAGAGAAAGCTTATCTACTGATTCATTCCCCCAAATGTCTGCATAAGCCTGGCTGAGCCACCTGAAGTCAGGACCCAAGAACTCAATCTGGGTCCCTCACGTCCCTCCTGCTTTCCAGGGTGCACATTAGCAGGAAGCTGGATTAGAAGCAGTAGCAACACTGCATCTCAGGCATTCAAATACAAGATGCTGGTGTCCCAAGTGGCAATTGAACCCACTGCACCACAATACCAGCCCTGATAGTAATGATCTTATGTGAGTTTCAAAAACAAATACGAACCAAAAAAAATTTGATCTATAATATAGCTCCTTTAGCACTTTAATGCCAGCCTATTTGAAAATGTTGAAACTTCAGACTAGGAATTTCTTTCTGTACCACTCATGCTAGCTATCTACCTGGAATGTCTAGGACACTCCTACTTTCTCCTGGTACCAGGTAGTGGTAGCAGCATTATTTCTAGTAAGTGGACAGGTAAGTACTTTCTTTGTGGTACATGCTTCTATAGCCGTAGTAGTGACCAAGGAAGAGTGTGCACTGCTAATATCTTAGTCTGTATTCAAGGGTTCTTCTCTCCCAACTGTTTTATATTTGAGGACTGACTATATCTAAATCATGGAGATCGTTACTTCCTGGAAAAGTAACACTTGGCATCCACTTGCAATAGTCATGTGATTAGCTTATTGATCTTTTGTTGAATTTTTCTTCAGAAATAGCATTATTGAGTCTATTCCATTTAATTTGATGGTCAGCTACTGTCGCTCCCCGTCTTTGTGGAGGAACGACACAGGACCCTGCGCTGTTCTTTTGTCTGCTCGGCCCTCCCCGGGTTTGCTGCTGGTTCTTCCCTGGTTGGCTACCGTCCCTTCCACCTCCGTGGAAGGGCGGTTCCCCCTGCCACATTCCCCACTTCCGCAGGGGAGTGGCACACCGCCGGCCGGCTCTCTCGGGGGCTGCACAGGTGTTCCTTCAGATAGATGTTCCCCTTAGATGTTCCTGGTGCATGCCGTCTCTCTCCTCCTTTATAGTCCTCCTCCGCCAATCCCAACTCGGCTGCCCACACACCGAGTACGCTGCTCTCCTCCAATCAGGAGCAGGATCAGCTCCTGGAGGTCAGCACTCAAGTTGGCAAGAGGCAGCTGCGTAGAAGCTGTTTTCTCTTCTCCCAGCGCCATATTGTGGGAGAGCAGATGCATAGAATAAGTCTTAATTCCAGTAACTCAGTCCAGTCCAGGTTGCTCCCCACAAGCTACACTCAACATTTACATCTGATATTTCTATATACCTCTCATTTATCCATTCACATGGAATAGCATCTTTTATTTTTTAAAGAAAACTTTTATTTAATAAATAAAAAATTTGAAAGTACAACTTCTGGATTATAGCGGTTTTCCCCCCATAACCACCCTTCCACCCACAAACCATCCCATCTCCTACTTCCTCTCCCATCCCATTCTTCATTAAGATTCGTTTTTAATTATCTTTATGTACATAAGATCAACTTTGTATATACTAAATAAAGATTTCAACAGATTGCAGCCGCATGGACACACAAAGTATAAAATACTATTTGAAGACTAGTTTTGCCATTAATTCTCATAGTACAGCACATTAAGGGCAGAGATCCTACATGGGGAGTAAGTGCACAGTGACTCCTGTTGTTGATTTAACAATTGACACTCTTATTTATGATGTCAGTAATCACCCGAGGTGCTTATCATGAGATGCCAAGGCTATGGAAGCCTCTTGAGTTCACAAACTCTGACCTTATTTAGACAAGGCCATAATCAAAGTGAAGTTCTCTCCTCCCTTCAGAGAAAGGTACCTCCTTCTTTGATGGCCTGTTCTTCCCATTGTGAATTCACTCACAGAGATCTTTCATTTTGGTCATTTTTTGCCACAGTGTCTTGGCTTTCCATGCCAGGGAAACTCTCATGGGCTTTTTAGCCGGATCCGAATGCCTTAAGGGCTGATTCTGAGGCCAGAGTACTGTTCAGGGCATTTGCCACTCCATGAGTCTGAAATAGCATCTTTATCTTATTGAAAGACTTCCAGTGACCCCACAGGGTTCAATGTTAGTAACAACACAATGTTGGGCTAATGTCCAATTGAGAAAAATAAAAGACAGTAACGAGTTTTCCAAAAGCCCTCCAAAAGAAAGAATTCATACATGTAAAAACTGAGGTTATGAATTAAAAATATTATAGTTTTGCATGGTCTCTAGCTTCTTTTAAAATAGATATTCACAACTAAATAGTTAAGATTTAAGAAATTAGGTTGACATGGATTTGAATTCTTAATGATTAGTTGTAGCTTTTATTTCTGCCCCATGGAAGACACTGCTTTGTTCTCTTGCATTGTGTTTTCCTGAGCTGTGCTTCTTTTTAGTTTAGTAGTTTGTATTTATCTGACAAAAGAAAAGAAGATGAAGATAGAGAAATCAGTTTATTTAACTCAAGAGTCTGATATGAAGGATATTTTTGAAGTTATTACTACTAAAACTAAAACAAATGCAACACAAGTAAAATAAATTATGTAGCTTTTCTTCTTAATATAAAATAAATATTCTTTAGACAGATAATATTTCATTTTTTAAATCTAAAGGTTGAAATACCAATATTAAAAGAATCTCTTAATTTTCTAAAGTGTTTTTAAAAACTTTCTATACAAGTAAGAACTTAATCATTCAAGATTGAAGATATGGGCTTATACTCTTTAAGATTTATATACATGACATTGAATTATTTGCAAATACTTAATCTGTGCTGAACTGAGTCCTGAAATTTGATCATGAGATTTACAGTTACCATAATATGCCCATTGTAAATAGGGGCCAAGTAACCTTTACGTTGTTTTGGTTATGACAAGATAAAGTCTTTCACATTATTTTATTTGCAATAATATGAAGCCTTTATTAGTAAAAAACATTTTTTCACCACTGGAATAATCTACCTTTTCCTACATATTAGCCATTCACAATGTAAGCATTTGGGAGCTACTTTTTTAGTGTTAGAAGTCAAAATTTAGATGTGGCATGTATATCTTTTTGTGTGTGTGTCATTCTTTGCATTTGCCAGTCTCCCTTAAGGTGATCTCAGTGTTTGAAATTCCATTATTATTTAATATATCAGTTGAAGGATGAAATCATCATTAAATATTGGATTATCTTTAAAGGAATTTTTATTCTTCTGTGGTAGATGTAGGAGCTTGCACATATCACTCTGTATTCCTCCTTATCATTGTCTGCTACCACCATAGAACAAGTTAAAGGGAATATTAAGAGCATTCTTAAGAGGGAAAAGAAGTGACTATAGGCACAGAGTAAAGAATATATGAGAATACTTCAAAAAGTATGGTAAGATGAAATTGAAAGATAAATTTATTTTGATGCAAAAAATTTTGATATTCATGCATACTTCTTCATATTGTGCATTTTTCATGAACTTTTTGAAGACCTCTAATTTGTGGAGGCCAGGGGATTATGTGTATGTATATAGATAATGCTAGTTTAGGGTCACATTGTTCTCATTTGGTACATTTGGTGTATATCTTAATGGGATCCTGTTAATGAACTAAATGCCCAAATGCTAATCTAGCCTTGGTGACAGAGTGACAAAAGGGTGGGTACCTCAATTCTATTAGCAGAACCCTGACAAGATGGACAAGTGGTTCCTGCCAAGGGCAGCCCTGGTTTACCAATCTTCCTCTCAATTTTGTCAACTCAGACCTTACACACACACACACACACGAGAGAGAGAGAGAGAGAGAGAGAGAGAGAGAGAGAGAGAATGAGCTATGATGGAGGAGGCAGCTGAAAATGCAATGCCCTTAGGTGGTGGTACTATTGCTGAGAGAAATTTCATTTTTTAGCAATTCATTGCAAAATTGGTGTTTCAACAAAACTTCTGATAGCAGGCCAGGATCATTACATGCAGCTGTTCAGCTTATGGACTGCACATAAACTACAAGGCAAATGGTGCATCCAGCCTCATGCAGTGTACAAACTGCACTGCTATATATGACAGCCCTATAGGCACTGTCTAAATATTTATATAATTCTGGTATGAAAGAAAGAGGTCTTGGCTGTGTTGGCTAATCTGAGAAAGCAGGTTGGAAAGAACTTGATGAGGGAGCAGAGCAGTGTAGGAATGAGAAACAGAGGAATTACTATAGCAGCAGCAGAAGCAGCAGCAGCAACAGCAGCAACAGCACGTAATTGTTCCAAGGCTTCACCCGAAGCTCCCTGTGCTCCCTGTGCTGATGTTATCTTTTGACCCCTGATGGGTTCTCCAGCCAAAACCACAACTCCTTACATTCTGTTTCACATATACTGTTATTACAATAGAAGTAATGCGATGTTATCTCAATGTTATGAGATTTAATTTATTAACAACTTTTTGTGAAAGTGTTGTATGATTTATATCTATGGAGACATAATCTTTAAAAGTTACCTTTAAGTTGTCTTTCATGGTTTTCCATTGACTTTGTCTTTTTCTGTTTTACTTTGCTTTCTTTTCTCATATCCATCCCCCTGAGAATGGGGGGAGACAGATTAGAAAGGGAGAGACAGATAGGTACATGATTGAGGAAATTAGAAGATTTTATATGAAGGGAGAGAGCCAGAGGGAACAAAAGAAAAAGAATGGAGAGAAGTGGAAGAGAGATGGTTAGAAAGGAAGTGAGAAAGAGAAAAAGCCAAAAGCAGGAGAGAAAAAAAGCACAGAGGGAGAGAGAACTTAATTTGGGTCTTCAAATCATGTTCTAACCACCTTGTAACAGTTGTTGTTATTGTTTCCCATGGAATTCATTGTTAGATTTCATAAACACATTCCCTTTTAGGGGCTTCCCTCCCTTTTTCTTACTAGCCTGGGTTTTACAACAGGGAATGAATCTGGCTGCTTAGGATTCTAAGGAATTTGATTTGTAATATTTCATAAGTGGAAAACAAAGATGGTGGGCAGGGAATGGAATGGAAACTCCCAGTGTTTCATAAGTGACTTTCCCTTCTCATTTCTTGAATCTCTATCTTGGGTCTAATTTCTTTCCATCTGGGAAAAAAGTACTGTAGGATTATAGAAAGCCTATTTTTGGGATCACAGCAAATCAGAAAAGTTAGGAGAGAAAGCCTAGAAAAATAAAAAATTAAGTCAAGAAAGGAGAGAGATGGACTCAGATCTCGAGAGACAAGTTTAACCTGTACCCTGCCTTGTACATAATAAGCCTTGTCATAAAAACAGAACATTTGAAGTGCCACTTTACCCCAAGTCTGTGTAATTCTCTCAAACTGCTCAGATGTTTGAGAGGCGAATTGAGAACATGGTCCCCGACTAGCGTTGGCTCAGAGCTGGGTGAATGTGAATCAGATGAGCTTAATAGTACCAGCAATTTAATTTACTGCTGGGGGAAGCAGTTGTTATTCTGGCTTTCTGACTAGAATAGATAGTGGAATTACCGATTCGTTTTTATTCTTCACTCAGATCAAGTTAAAAGGAATTGGGGATTAAAATTAGACTAACCTTTGCTTTTCTTGGAGGTAAAAAGTGTTAAGGATAAGAGTGTGTGAAAAGGGAAATGATTTAGAGGAGAGTGAAAAAGGGTAAAGAAATGCTAATCAGGGGGAAAACTGCAAAACTATACAAGCCTAAGTCAGAAAAAAAATGGAAAGACATGAGAGAGGAAAGAAAAGAAATGACAAAGTACATGAAAGAAAACAAATAGGGAAAATAATTAATACTTTGTGGAAAACTGCATGCCAATTTTATATATTGTATCATCCTTGTGATTTAATAAGCTCCAGTGGGATTTTGCTGCTCATTTGCTTAACTCCTGTTTTCCTTTGCTCCGTATTTCAAATTGCCTGTCGGAATTAGAAAGACCGGCCACCAGGACCACAAACATGTCAGCTGTAGGATCACAACTGCCAAGAGGGCTGGAGACAGCTAATTGTGTCCTCATCTCCCCACCTAACCTTATGTACACACGTTTTAGAGTTGAAGAAATTGAGGCCTAGGGAGATAAATGACATGTGCATGTAACAAAGGAAGTTTATCTAGAACTGAAGCCTATACTTTTGACTCGGTTTAATAGCTGATTTCTTCATCTTTTCCTTTCAAATTTCCTCCAGTTCCTTTTCCTAGCTTGTTTCATGGAAACTACTTTTTACATGTTGTCTCCCAAACTTCCATTTCCCCCTGCCCCACAGGTAGTCAGTGGGTAGCGCTTGTTCACTGGGGAATCATGTCCTTGTTCTTTCTGACTGCTCCTTACTTGGTTCAAGACTTTGGCACCCTTCACCTGGACTTCCTCCCTCTAGCCACCTCCAGCTTCTCAGAGACTACAGTCAGAGTATCATCCTACAAGATGACACTAATTTTATCATTTCCCTGTTTTTTTAGACATCCCTCTTTCGTTACCTAATAGCTATATACAAATTTATAACATAACCCCACATTTCCATAATCTGGCCACTGTTTTGCTTTCCAGCTGCATCTCTTGTTACTGCTAAACTGAACATGCCCAGCACTTTCCCATGTCTTTGATTTTGCTCATATCATTCCCTGTGTGGAGGATATTCTGATGTCCCCTTTCCTAACTCAAAACTGCCTCCTTCTTCCGGCTTTGGATCGGCATGGTGGCCATTTGGGGAGTGAATTAACGGAAGGAAGACCTTTCTCTCTCTCTCTGTCTCACTGTCTATAACTCTACCTGTCCAATGGAAAAAAAAAAAAAAAAGAAAAAGAAAAAAGAAGCTCCATCATGGTCTCTCCCTTTGCCTAACATACACCTTTATTTAAAAACAAACAAACAAACAAACAAACAACAAAAAAAAAACTGCCTCTTTCATAGAATCTTTCATGATTTCCTCTCCTGAGCTAAAAATGAGTTCTTTTCTTTTGAAGTAGATATGACATTCTGATTAATGTTACTTGTGCACATGTCTCAAGGGCAAGTAACATGTTCTATTAGTTTTTTTTTTTCAATTTCCGGCGCCTTCCACAGTGCTTCATATATAATAGACATCAAATGCTTGTTCCATTGAACAAAATTGAGTTTGTACCAGAAGACAGGTGAAAGAATTAATCACATAAAGGGTGAAGTAACAGCATCAAAGCCCTACATAAATTTCAAGTTTCCATGAATAAATGAGTGCCTCTGAATGTGCTAATTATATACGATATTATAGTAGGGCTGCCACTAGGATTTATCCTTTCCTTTAGCAAATGAAAGGAAAAAATTTGCCTGTACTAGACATCTCTGAATTTCTATAAATTTAGTGTGATTTCTTTATGAAATACAATTTGGGGTAGAAATTGGTGAAGTTCTATAAACTGCAAAGGTTGCAAAGGAAATTTTTGCATTTTTCTTGTAACTATAATAGTATTTCCCCACAATATTCTCAAATTCAATACTATAGATCGGAATATAGGCCAAAACACATTACAGTATGGTTTATTGGTACTAAATGTGATTAAAAATGTCTTCAAGTATCTTGGTTTGTTGAAGTACTGTGTTTCATTTTTTTCCCTCTCCACTTAAGCCAAGTTAAATGTTCTTCTCTCTTCCCTCCGTAATTTTCTCTTGAGTGCTGAGGCTAAGGTCTGTTCCATCTCCCAGATTAGAAAGTAATGTAGATGTGAATCAGTTGCTAGTATAGGGAGCGATTTCCTAGGTGCCTATAAGACACCTCAAAATCTTGTTACAAGTCAAAGATTCTTAGACTTGGGAATGTGCAAAGAAAAAATATTACAATCCTCCCCAAACCCTGGCCCCCATCCCAAGTGAACACCTCATTAAACATTGTTACCTAACAGTGAGGCAGAAGCAAAGATGTAAGCAGGAAGGATACAGATCAGGATGATTTTAGATTTACTAAAAATTTCATTGTGAACCATTTCCTTTACAAATTAGCAAGAACAGGAGGTCCTGATTATAGTTGTAATTTTGGATTCTACTCCTACAACTAGCAGTGGAGTGATTTGTGACTGATGAGTTAGATTCAAGGAACTGGGAAAACCAACTCGACCACTAAAGAAAAAGAAAACTGAAGTATTGCTTATCATTTGAAAGCTATCTGGGATGGACTTTGAAAAAGAGTTTCTACAGTGTATGGCTCTCAAGTGGGGCAAAGTCAGGAAAGGGAATGTATTAAAAAGTCTTCCTGGATTCCTTTGCTCTTATCTACTCTACTGCTCCAGGAACCAGAGATGACTACTGAATACCGAGGATCACAATAAAACATGCAGTGGAATTTGTTCCATACCTGAAGTGTCTGAATCAGTTTTCACGTTCCTGTGAAAATAAACAGTACATTTCAAAAAATTGCCTGTGTTACCACAAGTGTTTAGAAAAGAATCACTACATCTGAGATAACCAGTCATTCTCTAAATGCCTCGTGAATAGTGATGAAACATATTTAGCAAGCCTAGGCTGTTATTGATTATGACAATAGATAAAATTACCTAAACTTCTGTAACATGCAGGCTGGCTATCCAGTCTGTAAAACCCATAAAAGTGAATTGTGTGTAATAACATACAATATATTTTTTATTACATTTGTCACCAGCCACTCAGTGAGGCTGTGGGCTTTCCTACCTCTTCCATGCCCTCCTACTGGGATAGAAACTGGGGGAAGCTAACTGCCACTGCTCAGAGGCTCCAGTAAACAGGGTCAATTGTACTGAGTATGTAGGGTCTGGTAGAGACCTGGGAGTAAATTCTGGAATGATTAGGTAAGAGAAATTGCCAACTTCTGTTAGCTTCTTCCCTGCCATCTCTCTAGCCCTGTTGGGGATGACAACAGTTAGGAATTTTGTAGGCAAAGAATATACCTTATTTACATTTATTACTTTCCTGTGGCTTATTGGATAAAATAGGAGACTAGCAGTTTTTCAGATTATTTTACTTTTACAAATGTCTTTGAATAATGCAGATTATTTTCTGTATCCCCGGTTTTTTTAAATTAAAAACAAAATTAAAACACTTATTTTCTTATTCTCACTGGCATACTAAAACAAGCTTAAGTCAGTTTTCACTAGATCCTTGTTTCTTGACTACATGTTCAATAAATATTTTGGAAGTACTGCTACATGAGTGAAACTAAGAATCCAAGAACAATGCTATTTTCCATAGATATTATTTCTATAAGTAGGGATATTATCTTCCCAGATAAATGTACATAGATTTTCTAAATTTTTATTTATTTATTTTCATTTTATTTGAAAGGCAGAGAGACAATGAGACAGAGATCTTCCATCTGCTAGTTCATTTCTCAAGGGTCCATAACTGCCAGGGATGGGCCAGCTGGAAACTAGAAGCCAGGAATTCCATCCGGGTCTTTAATATAGGTGTCAGGGATCCAAGTACGTAAGAGCCATCATTTGCAGCCTCCCAGTGTGCACAATAGCAAGGAGCTACATTAAAAAATCAAGCAGATGCCCGGTGCCACGGCTCACTAGGCTGGCTAATCCTCCACCTGCGGCGCCGGCACCCCAGGGTTCTAGTCCCAGTCGGGGCGCCGGATTCTGTCCTGGTTGCTCCTCTTCCAGTCCAGCTCTCTGCTATGGCCCAGGAAGGCAGTGGAGGATGGCCCAAGTGCTTGGGCCCTGCACCCGCATGGGAGATCAGGAGGAAGCACTTGGCTCCTGGCTTCGGATCGGTGCAGTGCACCAGCCATAGCGGCCATTTTGGGGGGGTGAACCAAAGGAAATTTTCTCTCTGTCTCTAACTCTGCCTATCCAAAAAGAAAAAAAAAGAAAAAAAAAAAGATATCGAGGAGCTGGGACTCAAACCAGGCACTCTAATGTGGAATGTGGGCATCCCAAGTGTTGACAACTGTTGAACCAAATACCCACTCCTATTATGATCTTCTTAGATGTCTGGCAATACCCCCAAGTTCCACAATGAATCTTTCAGGGAGTAAAAGTTAAAATACTTGTAGTAGTAATTTTCTGAAGACTTTACAAATAAATATTCATATAACCTTTACCAAATAGAACTCTTGAATTAAATGAAAGTTGATCTTAATGATGAAAGTTTTCCAGAGGCTGAGAAATATCAAGTAAATGTACCTTACAAAATAGATTCAGGGGTCGGCTAGTTGGCTTGCCAGTTACCCTTGAGCTCCCAGCTTTTTTAGTCCAGGGTAGGGCATTTGGCCTACTAGTTAAGAAATCTCTGTCCATATAGGAATGCCTGAGTTTGATACCTGGCTCTGGCTCCTGACTTCTGAGGCTAGTTACCAACTGATGCAGATTGAGTGATGCAGTTGTGATGGCTCAAGTGATTGGGTTCTCTAGCCACACATGTGGGAGACCTGAATTGAGTTCCTGGCTCCCAGCTTCACTCTGGTCCAGCTCTGGCTGTTATGGTCATTTGGGGAGTTAAATAGCAGATGGGAGCACTCTCTCTCTCTAAAATAAATAAATGAAAAGTTCAAAAAATAGATGAAAATTAAGATAAAGCCTGCCATTATCCTCTTTAAAGCAAAGAGCAGAGTTGTGGCAGCATTATTGTCAAGGAAAAGGAAGACTATAAATGCTTTATGTAGTAAATCCTTCTTTTCTAAAAGACCTAAAGTGACAGTAGAGAAAAGTTTAAATCTCTATTATCTTTCACATATCTATATTAACATTGCTCAATTTACATTTTAATAGCTAGTGAAGCTAAATGCAGAATTTCCAACAAGGTCATTGTTCAACATTTTTTCAGTGTTCCAAAGTATACAGTTATAAAGTGTCATTGAAATTAATGGTGTTAAAGAAGAAAAACAAAATATGGAACTATTCATCAACCTCCTAGTCCTGGCTAAATCCTACAAATGGCCCTGCAATAAATTGTCAGTGAATTCCATTCAGTTCTTATACTACTACATCTGTCATTCATAATTAACATTCTCAAATTAGACTCCAGCTAGTAATTCTGCCCCTGATGCAAATAGGCAATAAAAAGGAATCTGTGCTTTATTAAATTGATTGGGCTTAAGAAGATTACTTAGAACCAAATATATCTTTCTGGTTTTGTCATCTATTTATTTTTTCCTAGAAGAGTCAGCAGATTAATGGCACAGAAAGCTGAGGCAGTGGAAGAGCAGAGCCTTCAAGAATTTGAGATTTGCTAGCTTTCAAGATCCTTTAATCTTTAAAATTCTATATTTTTTGCTGTTTAAAGAATTTTTCTCACCATTTCTAGTAGTGATTATAATAATGTCAATGACAAAATTTAGCATCTGCAAACACATTTTTCAAAAAATGTAACCTAGCATCATAGTTTTTATAATATTTTATTAAGCAATTATGAGTTAGTCTAGGGATGGGCATTTGGCCAAGTAATTTAAGGTGCCAGTTAAGATGCCCACATCCCACACTGGAGTCTGAGTTCGATTCTTGGCTCTGGCTCCTGGTTCCAACTTCCTGCTGATGGAGAACCTGAGAGGCAGGGGTGATGGTTCAAATAATTGGGTTCCTGCCACTCTCTTGGAAGACCTGAATTGAGTTTCTAGCTCCTGGCTCTGGTCCTGACCTGACCCTACATTTTGTGGGGATTTGTGAAGTGAGTCACTAGCCACTGGTTGGGAACTCTGTCTCTCTCTGCCTCTTTGGGGCCACCAGCTCTCCTTCATACAAAAAAAAAAAAAAGACTAGTCTAGTACTGATTTTGAAGACAATGTGCATTTGTCATTTGTCAAAACCCAATAGAACTACAACTCAAAGAATGAGCCTTAGTGTAAGCTATGGACTATTATGGACTATGGTTAATAATGTGTTATCATTAACTCATTAATTGTAACTAAATGTACCACACATGATTTTTTCTTCTTTTTTTCATACAAATAAGATTTTTAACTCTATGTACCATTTGTTTAATTCTGTAACTCAAACTGTACTAAAAAGTTTGTTAATGAACTTTTAAAAGCTTTAAAAAAGGCATTAAAAGCTAATCCAATGGTTGAAGGCATTCATTACATGCAAAAGAGCAAGGAAAGAAGAAGCTGAAATGATTTACAGTAACCTTGTGAGATGTTGATTTGTAGTGTGTTTATGAAGTGTTAGATAAGTGGGAACAGTGATTTTGAGACATAATGAAATAAAACAAAGTAACACATCAGAGTGACCAGACCTGATCAATTTTTATTTAGGTCAAATTGAGAAATTTGATCTTCCTATTTGTCTTAGACTTATGCTGAAAGCCATACTCATCTTCTAGCCCCCTGCATCTTGTATTATTCTCTCCCTTATCTATTTCTGACCAATGGTTTATGTTTCTTGCTTGCTTCTTTATTCTTCCTCTCTCTTTTACCTTTTTTTATCCTCTAACATGTCAGACTTAACAGTGGCTCTCCTGGTCATTGTTCATTTCCACGGAAATAACTCAGTGGCTCCCATTAAGAAATAGCAAAACAGGGTTTTAGGTAAAATTTATCTATTTCAGCTACTCTGTACCCTCTGTAGGAAGCAGGAACATTTCTTTGGGAAATAAGTACAATTCCCACATCAAACCATATTTTTTTTCTTTTCTTTTTTTTTTTTTTTTTTTTTTTTTTGAGCTCCTAGTTATATAGGATAGATTTCTGGAAGCAAGCTCTCTTGAGTTTGAGCTGGTAGTTCATCCCATGACTGTACTAGGGAATACTTTATTTTCTCTGTCCTCAAGAAGAGAAGAATCCTTGCTAACCCCTAACTTTGCACATAGGACTGGCTTCTCCTAAGGCAGAGGTTCTTAAGCTTGAGTGTGTGTGAGAATTACTTGGAGGTCTAGTAAACCACAGAATGCTGTGTGCTCTGCCCTCAGAGTTTATGATTCAGTAACATGGGGTGGGGCCTGACAATTTACAACTCCAACAAGTTCCCAGTTGCTACTGCTGCTGGCGGATTGGCAGCCACACCTAAGAACCACTGGTCTCTGATTTCTCTTCAGATCGCTTAAATCTTTCACCTTTTACTAGGGATTCCTGTGGCGAGAAACAATTCTGAGGCTTAAATCAGTTTTTGAGGCCTTGTTTTGGCAAGGCTAAAAGAAAAAAAAATTCAGTACCCAGGAGCTAAAACAAATATCATTCTGATTTCCAGGTCTATGGCTCTCCTAAGAGTCAACATTATTCTTTTGCTTCCCTTGACCATCCTTACTTTCTTGAGAAAGAAGATTAAAAAGCAAGCCAGCCTTGAGTAATTAATCTTCAGTTGATTTAGATATTTTTGAGTATGATGTATTTTTTACATACTAGCCAATTTTATGTAATTGAAAATGAATTATTAGTGTCAATCATTTACTGAGTACCTAATATGTTCTAAGTCCTTTATATACTTCTTTGTCTCTTTCTTTCTTGGAAACCTACAATATACCAGATGTGCTTACTGTTTTCATTCTACCACTCTCCTTTAAGGAACCCTCCAGAGCACACTTCAATTTCACTTTAGAAATAGTTTTAGCACTATCAGTCATTTGTTTTAGCAGATCTTCCCAGTGACTAAATCAAATAATAAGAAATAGGAAAGTGTCTAAGACACCTGGTGGGAGACCGTCTAACATCTATTCAGGACAAATGGCTTAATGTTTGCTTTTGAGAGGTTTCTGGAGATAAAGACTCCCCAACCTACAGAAACTGGTTCTGTTATTTACCAGTATCTAATTTATTATATATATATTTTAAATTGATCAATTAATTGCTATATCGCTCTATTACTTTATAGTATTTTCCTTTGTATTAAAATAATTTTTACTTTAAATCCACTTTTAAAATGTAGCCTTCTGTGAACTTTCTTGCACATTGGAATATGGTCATTGTCTCCTATTAATTCATACTTTCTTATTGCTTCATTTTTTTTACTACATTAAACATATTTTTTAAGTTTTGTGGTTTTTTTCACTATTTCTTCCTAGGTTCAGTTTATTGGATAGTATAGGACCATCTCTACACTGTATTCAATGTGATTTCAATTTCAATTTTTTTTCAAACTATTCTAGATTCTGAACCTGCCTTTCCCTCCCACCTTATATTTTAGATTTATATTATTTTGCAATTATCAAGTGCTTCGCACTGTGAACTTTTTTTAAAAATCAGCTATTTAATCTCTTTAGGGATCTACATGGCACATATTATTCCCATTTTATAAATGAAGAAACTAAGACCTGAAGAAGTTAAGTAACTTGCACAAGATCACAAAGCTAGTAAGATAGAGAAACCACAATTTGAATCCAAACCTCATTCTCTAGTTATGTTAAACTATTTCCCATATTTCCAGCATGAGTTTACTTTTAAAGTATATATGTACTCAGTTGTATAAATTTTAATAGAAACACTTATTAATAGCTAGAACAAATATCAGTTTCTTTAATCAGTTACACCCAAAACAGTAGTATTTTCCCTTCTGTATGTAGAAATAGAATACTATTGTAAGAGTACATTTTTTTTTGAATTTTACTTTTCTAGCTTGTGATTCCTTATTTGTCATGTAGCCCTTTCATTGACAATTTATTTAAAAATTTATTTATTGGAGCTAGAGTTGTAGCCTAATGGGTTAAGCTGCTGCCTGCAATGTCAGCATCCCATGTGGGTGCTGGTTCGAGTCCTGGCTGCAGTGTGCTTAGGAAAGCATGAGAAGATGGCTCAATTCCTTGAGCCCCTGCACCCACGTGGGAGACTGGGAAGAAGCTCCTGGCTCCTGGCTTAGGATTGGCCCAATTCCACCATTGTGGCCAGTGAGCCAGAGGATGGAAGATCTCTCTTTCTCCTTTCCCCTCTTTCTGCTAACTCTGCCCTTCAAATAATAAAATAAATATTTTTAAAAAATATTTATTTATTTGAGAGAGAAAGAAAGATCATATCTGCTAGTTCATTCTCCAAACAGAGAAACAAGGAAATCGATCCAGATCTCCCACAGGGAGGCAGGAGCCCAATTACTTGAGCTGTCACTGCTGCCTCCCAGGGTATACATTAGCAGGAAGTGGGAGTCAGGAGCAAACCAGGACTTGAACCTAGGTGATTTGGGATGCAGGCATCTTAACCATTAGGCTGAACCCTCACTCCTGTAATTCTGCCTATTTCTTTTCCTAATAGGACCCACAGTCTCGCTAAATTAACATACTATGAAATATCTTATTTAGCCATACCCCTGCCAGTGATCATTTGGGTTATTACAGGTTTTAATTATGAAACGCTATATTCAAATAAGTTACTTTCCTTTTTGAGTTATTTCTTTGACACGTGTTCCTGTATGTTAGTGGTATAATTATTTGTAATGTGAATTGCCAAGTTATTCTGCAGAAAACTCTCTACCATTTACAGTGACACCATGAGTGTTTGACATCTAATGAAAAGTAAGTTGGTTATTGTTGAATTTGTATTTCTTTAATTATTAGCAAGGTTGATCCCTCAAAAGTATTTGTATTTTGGAGTAAATTTTCTATTCGTGTCCTTAGACCATATGTTAATTTGATCTTTACAAATTCCCATCAGCTATTTATATATAGAGATAATCTATTATTATTCTTTCCGCATTCAGTTGTGAACACTCATGATGTATGTATGCATGTATTTAAAATGATTTATTTGGCAGGTGTTTGTAATTGTTATGCAATCAGTTTGGGACTCAATTGCCCCAGAGCTCCATACTTCCCCAAGTCTCTGCTGAAATATCCCTTCCTCAGAGAACTTGCCCTGATACTCTATAAAATCTCCTGGCCTTCCTCAAATTACTCCCTACTCTTTTATTATTTTTTTAAAAATCATAGTACATTCCAGCTGGCATAATAAATTTTGTTTATTATCTGTCTCTATTAGAATAAAGCACTTCATGAGATAGGAATTTAATTACTTTCACTTCTGTATCCTCAGTACCTGGCACAGGGGGTACTCAGTGACCTCAGCGGGTGAGAAAAGATCTTTCTTCTGTAATTAAGGCAGTGATATTCCATTTTCTTCTTGCTCGTTGTAGTTAATTTAAATAATTTATTCTTTTCCTAGGATACAGTATGAATTTTTTTTACTAGTATTTCCTGGAATTTCCCAAGCTTCTTTAGAATGTGTATCAGTTTGAATCTATTTTTGTATCTTTATTTCTAATTCTAAATTAGGCACTAGTGATTTTAATGGCCATTTAATTATAACATGGCTTAAGATTTTATAGGACCAACCCTCCTATAGATGTTTTCCATCTAATAGTTTCCTTGAGAGTCTTACCCTGTCTTTTGCACATTTTTTAACAGTTTTAAAATTTCCATGAGTTATTTTGAGATGTCAACTAGTATTGTTTTAAATATTAACTCATGACTAGTATTGTTGTGAGCAATAGCTTAACCTGCTATGCCACGATGCCAGCCCCTATTTATTTATTTTTATTTATTTGAAAGTCAAAATGACAGAAACAGAGAAGGAAAAATGGAGAGAGGAAGAGAGAGATCAATTTTCTATGTGCTGATTCACTCTTCAAATGCCTGCAGCAGCTGGGGGTAGGCCTGGCCAAAGCATGAGCCAGGAACACTATCCAGGTCTCCCATGTGGGTGCCATGTACTTGAGCTCTCATCTTCTGCCTTCCAGGAGGCAAATTAGCAGGAAGCTGGATCAGGTGTAGAGGGTGGGACTCCATCTCAGGTACCCTCATGTGGGATGCAGGTGTCCCAAACAGCAGCTTAACCTGCTGTTCCACAGAACTCTGTCCCTATTCTAAGTTTTTAATAGAACACTTTTAGAATTTCTTTGTTAAAAACTGTGGGGAGCAATCCGGACTGGACTGAGTTACTGGAATTAAGACTTATTCTATGCATCTGCTCTCCCACAATATGGCGCTGGGAGAGAAGTAAACAGCTTCTGCACAGCTGCCTCCAGTTCAACCAATAAACTGTAGGACTTGCTCCTGATTGGAGAGCAGCGTACTCGGCGTGTGGGCAGCCGAGTTGGGATTGGCGGAGGAGGACTATAAAGGAGGAGAGAGACGGCATGCACCAGGAACATCTATGGGGAACATCTAAAAGGAAAATCTATCTGAGGAACACCTGTGCAGCCCCCGAGAAGAGCCGGCCGGCGGTGTGCCGCTCCCCTGCGGAAGTGGGGAATGCGGCCAGGGGGAACTGCCCTTCCACGGAGGTGGAAGGGATAGTAGCCAACCCGGGAAGAACCAGCAGCAAACCCGGGGAGGGCCGAGCAGACGAAAGAACAGCGCAGGGTCCTGTGTCGTTCCTCCACGAAGACGGGGAGCGACAAAAACAATATTGGCTCTAGTTTGAAGTAAACATTCTTTAATATTATTAAAGGAAAACACCATTATGTGAATCTTTTCTCTGATCAAAAATATAAAAATGTATCAACTGTGCTTAAAGTGCTATGGTTTTTTTGGCTCTTTTTTTTTAAAAATTAAAATTTATTTGTTTATTTGAAAGGTAGAGTTAGAGAGTAAGAGAGAGAGAGAGAGAGAGAGGAGAGACAGAGGGAGAGATTTTTTTTTTTTAATTTCAAGACCTAATCATTTATTTGAGAGGTAGGGTTACAGACAGAGAGAGGGAGAGACAAAGAGAGATTTTCCATCCACTGGTTCACTCCCCAAATGACCATAATGGCCAGAGCTGGGCTAATCCTAAGCTAGGAGCTAGGAGCTAGAAGCTTCTTTTGGGTCTCCCACATGGTGCAGGGGCCCAAGCACTTGAACCATCTTCTACTGCTTTCCCAGGCCATGAGCAGAGAGCTGGATCGGAAGTGGAGCAGCTGGGACTCAAATGGCATCCATATGGTGCTGTGGTGTAGTAGGTTAAGCCTCTACCTGCGGCCCTGGCATCTTGTTGCAGCCATTTGGAGAGTGAACCAGTGGATGGAAGATCTCTCTTTCTTCTCTCTGTATCTCTGCCATTCAAATAAATAATAAAATAAATCTTTAACATTTTTTCTTAATTTTATACTAAGCTTGCTATATTTTGTCTGCTAAGATTCTAAGAATTCCGCATTTATTGTCACAAGTAGGATTAGTCTAGAATTCTTTTTTTTCTTTGTTTTGTTTTTGCCTGCTAAATTATTTGCTTCATGTAATTAGGGAAACTAAACAGTATTTTTTTCTGTGTGTCTATATTTAAAAGGAAACATACATAGCATAGAGATAATTACTATAGTATCTCAAAAACTGTTCAAAAAAAGTCAGAACTATGTTTTTAATGGGAACTCTTTGACAAATTTGCTCTATTTTCTTAAGGTCTCAATTTCTGATAGTGCCAGTTTTGTCTTTCATTTTTGTTAAAATCATTTGTTTACTTTAGTATTTCCAAGTTATTAAAGCACAGTTGCATATAATCTTCATCATAACATTGTACTAATTTTTCTATTAATTTTCCCTTCTACCCTTTTAAAAAATAGCCATTCCAATGGTTTGACAGTTTTGTTGTTCTTTTTGAAGACTCAGTCATAGTATTCTGGCATTTCAAACTATTCAAAAATTTTTGATTAATTTATTTTTTAAAATTTGGTATATAGAGTTAGTGAGAGAGAGAGAGAGACAGAGAGAAAGGTCTTCCTTCTGTTGGTTCACACCCAAAATGGCCGCCTCGGCTGGAGCTATGCCGATCCGAAGCCAGGAGCCAGGTGCTAAGCACTTGGGCCATCTCCACTGCCTTCCCGGGCCACAGCAGAGAGCTTGACTGGAAGAACAACTGGGACTAGAACCTGGTGCCCATATGGGTACTGGCGCCCCAGGCAGAGGATTAACCAAGTGAGCCATGGTGCCGGCCCCTGATTAATTTACTTTTAAGTTGATTTTTCCCTCTTTTCTTTGCTTATTTTTCCTTTTTTTTTTTTTTTTTTTTTTGACAGGCAGAGTGGACAGTGAGAGAGAGAGACAGAGAGAAAGGTCTTCCTTTGCCGTTGGTTCACCCTCAATGGCTGCTGCGGCCGGCGTGCTGTGGCCGGCGCACCACGCTGATCTGAAGGCAGGAACCAGGTGCTTCTCCTAGTCTCCCATGGGGTGCAGGGCCCAAGCACTTGGGCCATCCTCCACTGCACTCCCGGGCCACAGCAGAGAGCTGGCCTGGAAGAGGGGCAACCGGGACAGAATCTGGCGCCCCGACTGGGACTAGAACCTGATGTGCGGTGCCGCAAGGCGGAGGATTAGCCTATTGAGCCGCGGCGCTGGCCTTCCATTTTTTGCTTACTTTTCCATAAACATAATTCATTACAGTCCTTTTTCTTTTCTTTCTTTCTTTTTTTTTTTTTTTTTTTTTTTGGTCTTACTAATAGAACCATTTAGATCTGGTGTCCTTGGCAGTGTTCTTCCAGAATGATCAGCTTAACTTTTTTTTTTTTTTTTTTTGACAGGCAGAGTTAGAGAGAGAGACAGAGAGAAAGGTCCTCCTTTTTCCTCTGGTTCACTCCCAAAGTGGCTGCCATGGCCAGTGTGCTGCAGCCAGCGCGCTGTGCTGATCAGAAGCCAGGTGCCTCCTCCCCACTCCCATGCGGATACAGGGCCCAAGGACATGGGCCATCCTCCACTGCACTCCCAGGCCACAGCAGAGAGCTGGACTGGAAGAGGAGCAACCGAGACAGACTCCAGCGCCCCGATCGGGACTAGAACCCGGGGTGCTGGTGCCGCAGGCGGAGGATTAGCCTAGTGAGCTGTGGTGCCGGCTGATCAGCTTAACTTTTATCTTCCTAACACTCCAATACTCACTCACAGTGAACTTGTGATAGACCTATTGGAACTATGAAAATAGTTTTCTCACATTATTAAGTTATTCATTGGAAGTATAGAAAAGTATGATTGCTACATAAAGAGTATACAGAGGAGCCTGTGTTGTGGCACAGTGGGTTAAGCTGCTGCTTGTAATGCCAGCATCCCCTGTGAGCGCCATTTATACTTGATCTTAGTCAAAAGGCCGAGAAGTGATTAAAAGCACTATTTGAGTCCTGACTGCTTTGCTTCTGATCCAACTCCCTCCTAATGTGCCTGAGAAAGCACATTGAGAAAGCACACTGAGAAAGCAGTGGAGGATGGCCTGAATACTTAGGTCCCTGCCACCCACATGGGAGACCTGGATGGAGTTCCAGGCTCCTGGCTTTGGCCTGTCCTAGTACTGGTCATTGCAGTCTTTTGGGGGAGTAAAGCCGTGGGTCAAAGCCCTCTTTTTTTATCTCTATCTTCTCTCTGTAAATAAATAAATAAATAAATAACCAACCAACCAACCAAATAAATATTTCAAATAAATAAATCCTAAAACAGAGAAACAAATGAAAGGATATACAGAGAAGAAAATACAGAGAAGTATAACGATAAAAGAAAATGTCTCCATATTTACTCTAGAAATCATTGCCTCAACTTCAAAATGTGAATGATATGATTCTATGGTATTTTCTGAAGCACACAACAATGGTCATCCGAGCACACAGCCCAGAATGCCAACTGAATGATGTGAGAAAATAGTGTGAAAATAAAAATTTGCTAAGGTAGAACCAAATATGGATAGATGAAAGTTGACTTTTACAGAGTATCATCTAGCAACACTATGCCTGAGTTACAGTGACTTTAAAGCATGTCTCTATTTACATTGCTTCCTGTCTTAGAATCCCCTTCAGCATTTTCCCACCTCACATACCTGGATTCAACAAACTTGAGAGCCCTGCTTTTAAAATTAGTCATCTTTTTGGAAGAGGTTTTATCATACACTTCTTTGGATGTATTTGCTTCACTTTCTAGTGGAGTCAAAGTAGTTTGAAAACATCTTTCACCTTGGAAAGTCAGTGTTATGTTTGAGATGGTGACTCGTTTTGAGGATTCTTTGAATTCATTCCTACTTTTTGTATCTCGTAGACACCCCGGCTTCAGAACATTTTCTGTTTTTTCCTTTGAAAATAGAAAATAGCAGGAAATCAGGTAATAGAAGAGTACCACACAGAAATAGATTGTTTATGGAGAAGTAATACAGTAGTTATTTCATTCATACTTTCCGAGTCCCCATCAATGCACAGACATAATAAAGAGGGAGTGAGACTTAGTGTTGGCTGAATGGCCACTAGGTAAAGCACTGGAAGCAGATGGTGGAAGCAGAACCCAACCTACTATAGCCTGACATCGCATGTTCAAAAGCTCATATTGTCATGCACACCAGTGTAATTTCACACAAGACAATGAGCACTTAATTAGAGTACTTCCTCTTTGTGAGTTGTTGGAGCAGGGAAGATTTTCTGGAAATGCCTTGCTACTTACTCCCCAGTCTGAAGTTGTTCTTAATTAAAAGCATGTAATAAGATGAGATTTTGGGGGGTTCATTATAATTCTAAGGAGTTTGTTTTTCAAAAGATTTAGATCCAGGAACTCCATTCAGGTTTTCCCTGTGGGTGGCAAAAAACTCAAGCACTTGGGCTACCATCTGTTGTCTCCCGGGCACATTAGAAGGAAGCTAGACCAGAAGCAGAGTAGCTGGAACTCAAACCAGCCCTCTGATATGGGATGTCGCCATCCCAACCAGCCATTTAACCTGATGCACCACAACCTGGGTCTTCTGGGTCTGACTCCAGAGTTCTCCATTATACCCTTGCTTTCTGATGGGGTAAGTGCAGGGGTGAGGAGGGTCACTGCGTATTTCAGGAGTCATATTACAACTCCTCTATACCAGCATTCAGGGATTGGACCTCAGTGTTAAAATTAACTTACTCAGGAGCTGGCATTTGGCCTGATGATTAAGAAACCTGTGTCCCACATTGGAATGCCTGGGTTCATTACCTGCCTCTGGCTCCTTACTCCAGTTTGCTTCTGATGTGGACTCTGAGAGGCAGTGGGGATTGGGATTGGGTTCCTGCTACCCACACTGGGGACCTTAATTGCATTCCCAGTTCCTTGCTTTGGTCTTGCTCAGCCCTGGTCAATGTGAGCATTTGAGGAATGGACCAGCAGATAGGAACAGACTTATTTGTTCACTTTCTCTCTCTCTCTCTCCATCTATTAATGAATTTTGACAAATTTAATTAGTTTACTCTGAGTAGGTTCCATAGCATTTTAATAACCAGTATCAGCTAGCCAAGAAGCATCACATGGTTACTGCTCTAGTTCTTGATTATCAAAGACTGAAAGTCTTCTGGGTCACCTACCTTTTCCTCTTGCTTGGCCTTGATTATATCATCATTTTCAAAGACCACTGTGACCCCTGAGAAGTTTGTGACATCAAAGTTGTCAGTGACTTCTGTGACTTCTGTGACAATTCTTATATCTGGGACTTCTGGGATCACATTTTCTGGAACATCTGTGACATCGGTGACGTCGGTGACATCTGTGAATTCTGAGAAATCTATGCTCTCCGTGACTTGTATGGCATCTGTATATGAGTACATGTGTGGGCTTGATACAGCTGAGAATGCTGTAATGTCCATGATGTCCATGGATTCTGTGATTTCTGTGCTGTTAGTGATTTCTGAGAGGCTTGAGACCTCTGACACCTTGGAAGCTTTGGCTTTCTCCTGATTCAAGAGGGAGATGAGGTCCATCCACTGAGAAAATAAGGTGTCCTGTTTGTCTGCAGGGGCACAGAGCTGTAGGTAGTAGGCTCGACCACTCACCAGCTTTACTTTTAGACGCATGTTCTCAGCATCATGCACAGAAAGAGTCACAAACTGCAGAGGGAGAAACCTGCAAACAAATGCAAAGGTAGCATTATTTGGAGAACTATTAAGAAACCTATAAAAGGGCTTTTCTCTTATATTTTATAGTAACTTAAACAGTGAGACTCAGGACAACAGGATTGTCTCCTAAGACTGATGTACTAAAATACTGGAATGTCAACTTTTTAAAAAATTTATTCATTTATTTATTTGAAGAGGTGAGGAAGAGAGAGAGAAAGAACTCTCCCACCTGCTGGGAGTCTCCAAATGCCTTCAATAGCTGAGGCTGGACCAGGTCAAAAGCAGGAGCCTGGAACTCAACCTAGGTCTTTCACATGGGTGGCAAGGACCCAATTACTTCAATCATTACCTGCTGCCTCCCAGGTTCTACATTAGCAGGAAATTGGAATCAGAAACAGAGCTGGAACTGTAACCCAGGTACCCTAACACAGGATGTTAGGGTGATATCTTTTTTTTTTTTTTTTTGAAAGTCAGAATTACGGGAAAAAAAGAGAGAGAGAGACAGACAGACAGACACCATCCACTGGTTCACTCCCCAAATGGCTGCAAGGGCTGGACCTGGGCCAGGATGAAGCCAGGAGTTATGAGCTTCTTCTGTGTCTCCCACATGGGTGGAAGGGGCCCAAGTACTTGGGTCATCTTCTGCTGCTTTCCCAGGCTCATTAGCAGGGAGCCAGGTTGGAAGTGGAGCATCTGGTTCTTACTATGCGACAATGCCGGCTCCCCAAGTGAGCCACTGTGCCAAATGCCTGCTCTAGGATGTCAACTATTTACCATGGGAAATTGTCCATTTTAATTAATCCTACAGAGTTGAATCTTGGAGTTAAGTGATATACTCAAAATCAAAGTGGAGTTAGCTGCTGAGACAAGGCCAGAGTTAATGCTGATGGAGTTGGGACATTGTGGGAAGATGAAGCATGCCCCTGAGCTTCAGTTCTTGTTGCTTAGGTTTCACTTTTGAAAGATAACCACCTGTTTGACTGCCTTTGCCATAAACTATTTTCCCCAACATTAAGGACACTGCTGTTTGTCATTGGCAGCAGGAAGTACAAGTGAAGTGCTCCTTTGGAACAACTGTCATCAGTGTTTCCATTTTCAGCCCCACAGGAGTCAAGTGTATATTCTGTGAGATCCTTAACCTCTTTCTAACTCACCTTGTGAGCACCAGTTTCTCTGTGGAAGGACATGTCAGGAGACTTTCAAACAGGGGTTCTGTATCTTCTGTATCTTTTTGGGCAGCAGGTGTCAGATGTGCCAGCAGCATCACATTGGGAGTCTTCTGGGTGGAACTGGAAGAACAGATGCCTACGGTCACCCAGTTGGCTCGGTTGTGAAGGTAAATGGATTCACCTCTTCTGTTGACCTGAGTGCAGAGAACAGGAAGTTTTCTGATAAAACGCATGGTCCCAACAACTTGGCTTACCTGAGCAGTGTGATGGAGGACAGGAAATAAAGGAGACATGAATCATCATGCGTTTGTTCCTTAACTTATGCTTATGTATTCTTGTGATAACACAATAAGCAGAGAGTCCCTGATCTATGGGGGTAAACCATGGAGAGCAAACATATGATTTAAGTAACATGATTTGACTAATTAATAATTATTATATGAAATGTTATCAAGTACAAGATGAGGATGCTATGGGAGCATGTAAAAAGAGACTGATTTAGATTATAGAGTGGGGATATAAGAGATGATGCTGGTAAACATTAAACAGCCAGCTCTCAGATGATGCATTTACATATAAGTTGTTTTTAAAAGCTACTTTTCAGGGTCCGGGTTGTGGTACAGTGGGTAAAGCATCTCCCCTGCAGTGCCAGCATCCCACATAGGCACCAGTTTGGGTCCCAGATGTTCGACTTCTGATCCAGCTCCTTGCTAATGTGCCTGGGAAAATAGTGGAGGATGGCCCAAGTGTTTGGTCCCTGCATCCATATGGGAGACTCAGAAGAAGCTCCTGGCATCTGGCTTCAGCCTGGCCCAACACTGACTGTTACAGCCATTTGAGGAGTGAATCAGTAAATGGAAGATCTACTTCTTTCTCTCTTTGCCACAAAGCCAGCCCTGTTATAGAATTTAATTTTTAATGCTGGCTGTCTAACAGATGACTTGCAAACTTCCTGAACAATTATCAATTGTCTGACTTCAGCACACCCCTGGTTATGGGGGTCACAGAAGTCTCCCCTGAGGAAGGCACCTCTAACTGACACTTGAACAATGTGAGAGATAAACTGGGTGCGTAGAAAGGAGAGGTTTTCAGGCAGAGGAACAGCATATATAAAATACCCAAAGTCCAAGTGTCTTGGGTAATCAAATCTCTGTCAGCTGGTGGAAGGAAGGCCTGGAAAATGGGTATAGAGAGATGGGAAGGAAGCCAGAAAGGAGCTACTCTTTGGTTTCTCAGCTGTGCAAAAACTGGTTCTATTAAAAAACCAATCACTGGGGCTGGCGCTGTGGCGTAGCAGGTTAAAGCCCTGGCCTGCAGTGCTGGCTGCTTCACTTCTGATCCAGCTCTCTGCTATGGCCTGGGAAAGCATTGGAGGATGGCCCAAGTCCTTGGACCCCTGCACCTGCATGGGAGACCCAGAAGAAGCTCCTGGCTCCTAGCTTTGGATCAGCTCAGCTCTGGCTGTTGCTGCCATTTGGGGAGTGAACCAGTGGATGGAAGACCTTTCTCTCTCTCTGGCTCTACCTCTCTCTATAACTCTTTCAAAGAAATAAAATAAATCTTTTAAAAATGTTTCAAAAATAAAAATAATTAAAAAACCAATCAAAGCCATTCAGAAAGAGGTTGTAGCATACATTATTGATTACTTACACAGAGCCATTTCCTTTCTGTAACACAGCCCTGGTTTTGTCCAGGGTGGCTAGTGATCCAGATCAGGGGTTAAATCCTGATTAACTGAAAGGGGAGTGATTCCAACCCCCATTTTCCTCCTCTCCAGTGACTGATTTCAGCAGAGGCATGTGACACAGGCCTGTCCAATGAGACCTAGGTGGAGCCTCCTGGTGGCTCTGGAACAGATTTCCTTAAAGGAGGTCATCCTAGGTGACCTTAGAAGGATACACTAGGATGAGATATATCTCATGTGCTGCTAGCAGCTACAATTGTCCTATTTGTGATGCTTTGAGGGTGACAGAGTAAAATGAGAGGACTTGGGTTCTCTCAGGGATGAGCTAGTTCTCTGGGGCTCTTTCATTCTGTTTGAAGTAATTGTTTCTCATTTTCATTTAAGCCAGTTGAGTCAGGAATCACAGTAATTTGCTGCCAAAAATGTACTAACCAGGATTGGTTGTGCTTTTTTTTTTAATATTTATTTATTTATTTGAAAGTCAGAGTTACACAGAGAGAGGAGAGGCAGAGAGAGAGAGAGAGAGAGAGGTCTTTCATCTGCTGGTTCACTCCCCAATTGGTTGCAACGGCCAGAACTGCACCCATCCAAAGCCAGGAGCCATGAGCTTCTTCTGGGTCTCCCACATGGGTGCAGGGGCCCAAGGGCTTGGGCCATCTTCTACTGTTTTCTCAGACCATAGCAGAGAGCTGGATGGGAAGTGGAGCAGCCAGGACTAGAACCGGCGTCCACATGGGCTGCTGGCGCTTCAAGCACCATAGCACCAGCCCCATGTGCTTTTTAATTTTTAAAATTTGTCAGCTATATGGGGGAGACACACACACACACACACATATACACAGAGAGAGAGAGAGTTCCCATCCACTGATACACTCCCCCAAATGCCTGCAATAGAGCCAGGAACTCAATCTGGATCTCCCACGTGGGAGGAAGGGAGCAGTGACCCTCTGCCTCCAGGATCTGATTTGGTAGCAAGCTGGAGTCAGGAGCCAGAGCTGGGGATCAAACCCAGATACTCTGACACGGGACATGGGCATGAAGTCCTAACTGACTTCTTAGCTTCTGGGCTGAACACCTGCCCTAGTTGTGCCTCTTGAAGGATATGACTTCCCAAATTATATTAGGGGGCTGTGTCTGAGCTGTAGACTGCTAGCTGTCTCTACCAGTGTAGGGCACATGCTATGTAATTTCATTAGAGCGGGCAAGAGGTAATATGGAAATGTCATGAGAAGAAAAGTGAAACAGGCCGGCGCCGTGGCTCCCTGGGCTAATCCTCCGCCTTGTGGTGCCGACACACTGGGTTCTAGTCCCGGTCGGAGTGCCGGATTCTTCCCCAGTTGCCCCTCTTCCAGGCCAGCTCTCTGCTGTGACCCGGGAGTGCAGTGGAGGATGGCCCAAGTGCTTGGGCCCTGCACCCCATGGGAGACCAGGAGAAGTACCTGGCTCCTGCCATCGGATCAGCGCGGTGCACTGGCCGCAGCGCGCCGGCCGCGGTGGCCACTGGAGGGTGAACCAACGGCAAAGGAAGACCTTTCTCTCTGTCTCTCTCTCTCACTGTCCATTCTGCCTGTCAAAAAAATTAAAAAAAAAAAAAAAGTGAAACAACAAAGTAAGATTATTAGTAGGAGGCCGGTGCCGTGGCTCAATAGGCTAATCCTCCGCCTGTGTCAGCAGCACACTGGGTTCTAGGCCCGGTCGGGCACCGGATTCTGTCCTGGTTGCTCCTCTTCCAGTCCAGCTCTCTGCTGTGGCCCGGAAGTGCAGTGGAGGATGATCCAAATGCTCGGGCCCTGCACCTGACTCCTGGCTTCGGATCAGCGCAGTGTGCCGGCCATTGTGGGGTGAACCAACGGTAAAGGAAGACCTTTCTATCTGTCTCTCTCTCACTGTCCACTCTGCCTGTCAAAAAAAAATTATTAGTAGGAAAGAGCTTTGTAGAAGGTAAAGCACTTCATGTCACGACTTGTCACATATGTCCTGGGGCATCACTGAAACAGGAGATGTTTCTGGAAGCTTCACCTGCTGCCTTTGGTACACTGGAGGTGGAGAGGTCACGCTGGTGCTTGGTATTAGTGCAGAGAACATGTGGAGGAGGAAGTGTCCTTACCTCTTGAAGTATCTGCTGTCCTCCTTGTCACCCCTCAGTGGAATCAGCTGTATAGATTCCTGAACATGTTGGAGGCAGAGCTAATAGCTTTGTGTTTGGTGTTAGACACTACTGTGGTGTTTCCATGAACATTAGGTGTGGCTTATACCAATTGAACTCATTTTCCCATTTCTCTGTTGGAATATTTAAATGTCTAATGTTTAGAGGAAACTAAGCACTGCTCTGAGACGCACTGCAACAGTTTCATTCATAATATATGAATGAAAAGCTTCCTTAGAAGCTCTCCCTGACACTATCTGACAAGTATGTTTTATCTTTGGAACTAAGAGCTGTGATTCATCTTAATCCACAGCTTATCACAGATGTTATTCTTTAAAATGTTTTTCAGGTCTAAGAAAGAAATTATCTGAATCCTTTCCTATGACAGGATATTTTCAAAATCACTTAGTGTAGTTTTGGGAAGATTATTATAGAACAATAATTATGGTAGAATTAAAACAGAATTCTGTCATGAAAGTATGTTGGGAACATTGGCGCTGGATGTCTCTTTAACATTATAATGCTTTCAGGTTGTTTAAAATTAAAAATTGTTCTTTTAATGGTATCACATTTTCCCTCACCACATTAAAAACATAATTCTTGGAGTAGATGTTTAGCCTAGTGGTTAAAATGCCAGTTAAGACCCCTGCATCTCCTGTCAGAATACCTGTGTTCAGTACTCAGCTCCAGCTCCTGACTCCAGCTTCCTGCTAAGGCAGACCCTGTGAGGAAGCAGTGATCGTTTAAGATGTTGGGTCTCTGCTACCCACATGGGAGACTTGGAGTGAGTTCCCAGCTCCTGGATTTGGCCCTGGCCCAGTCCTCATTTTTGTGAGCATTTACAGAATGAACCAGCCACTGGGAACTCAGTCCGTGTGTATGTCTTTCTCTCTGATTCTCTGCCTCTCAAATAAGTAAGTAAATAAGCAAATAAATACTTTTTAAATAAAAGGTACCACACAGTTCTTTTCCCAACCTCCTCCATTGTTTTAGAGAAAATTAGTTACTGAAGTTATTGGAACTTAATCCAGAGCACGCATATTATTTACCTGAATAAAATTGCTCTCTAACATGGGAGGAGATACAAATGGGTCATATTCTCCTTTGTCCAACATATTTTGAAGATATCCTGGATCTTGAGACTGTGGGACACAGAGGGCATCTTGTTCATCAGTCAACTTTTTGTTGTTCTTCTTCATTGTGCTTACATTCAAACATCAGAAAATGCAGGGAACAGAAATATAATTAATGGATACAGAGAGAATTTATCTGACAGTTGTCTCATTTATTCATTGATTCAGCAAACATCTGTATATGCTTGGCACTGTAGATGCATCTAAATAGGACTGATAAGATCCCTACCCACATGCACTTTATATTCTGTGAGGACACTGATAGTAAGCAAACAAAAAAAAGTTAGATTTTAGGGACCATAGAGACTCTAAAACAGATGCATGTGATAAAAGTGACTGGGGTATGTGGCTGGAATGGTTAGGAGAGGCCTCTCTAGGAGATCTCTCAACATGGACTTCCCTACCTTCACAAATTATTTTTTCTTTCCCTAATTAATGGTACAGGTACCATTTCCATCATGCAGGATTCTTAAATCCTTTTTTGTAAGTAAGGTATTAAAACTATGCTAAACTGTCAGAGAAGGGGAGTCAGGAGGGGAAGAATAGACATAATGAATAAAGAAAGAGAAATCAGGATAGCTTTTTAAAGTGGTGCAATTTTGAGATATTTCAAGAAGAGGAAAACAGAGAACACTATTCAACAATTGATGGATGGTAAGTAAGATGAGATATAAAAAACACTTCCTAGATTTAGCAATAAGGAGTCATTGATGCTTTGTTTGAATTATAATCATGAGGAAAACATGATTTATTATGGGGAATGACTTTTAATATTGTCATATGCACATTTTTGAACAGTTCAAAAATACTTACTGTAAGTCTTAAATGTTTTCCCAATCTTTCTTTAGAAAATATAGTTAATTTCTACATGCTATTAATAATTTTATGTGAGGAATAGTTTTTTTTTTTTTTTAATTTTTTGACAGGCAGAGTGGACAGTGAGAGAGAGAGACAGAGAGAAAGGTCTTCCTTTTTTGCCGTTGGTTCACCGTCCAATGGCCGCCGCGGCCGGCGCACTGCGGCCGGTGCACCGCGCTGATCCGATGGCAGGAGCCAGGAGCCAGGTGCTTTTCCTGGTCTCCCATGGGGTGCAGGGCCCAAGCGCCTGGGCCATCCTCCCCTGCACTCCCTGGCCACAGCAGAGAGCTGGCCTGGAAGAGGGGCAACCGGGACAGAATCCGGCGCCCCGACTGGGACTAGAACCCGGTGTGCCGGCGCCGCTAGGCGGAGGATTAGCCTAGTGAGCGGCGGCGCCGGCCTAGGGATAGTTTTAATTGCAGAATATGAACAAGACTTAGGAGAACCTCAACTTTTTAGTACAATATTGTTTGTTTTCAATTTTCAACTTTTAAAAATAAAACTACAGTGCTTTAAAAAACTATATTAAACCAAGAACACTTCTTCCAGACTATTCACCCATGACTGTGCCATAACTCTTGGTTGGGAGATAAATATTGGATACCTATCTAATTAGTGACAGTTCATTCCCTGCTATCTCCCTCTGTCTCTGAAAAATCGCTAAGTAGGAAACAATGATTCTATGCCATTAGATTTCACCTTTCATCTATTAGAAATGACAATTCTAAGAGAGAAGCAGGGGCCCAGAAAGCAATCTGTTCAGAACATTCAAAAGATCACTCTTCTTATTTGAAAAGATCTTTTTTCTGAAGGAGATATACAAATGACCAATAAGCACATGAGAAGATGCTCAAATTACTAATTATTAAGGAAATGCAAAGCAAAACCACAATGAGATATCATGTCATACTCATTAGGATGGCTACTATTAAAAAAAGCAGAAAATAACAAGTATTGGCAAGGATGTGGAGAAACTTGAAACCTTTTGTCCTATAGACAAGAATGTAAAATGGTACAATTGCCATGGAAAACAGTGTAGTGGAAATCTGAACTCTGACCACAGTTATTTCCACTAAACCTGCTTGTTGTGGCACAGAGCCTCCATTAGCACTCTTACAGTTATACACAGGGAAAGTAAAGTGAGTCAAGAAAATTAAGAAAGTCATATAGTTCACAGAACTAAAATGTAAAATGAATGAGACCAAAAAGGGAGCATTCATTTTAAAGGAGATAAAAAACAAAAACAACCACCTAAAACAAAGAGAATTAAAGTAAGAATCAACAAAATTTAATTAGTGTTAAGTGGCAGGCAACAAACACTTTTCATGAACTATCTCATTTAATTCTGATAATACTTTGAAATAGCCAGATATACATCTTATAGACCATGCAACTGAGGGTTTGTAAGGAAAAATTATGTATCCCACCTCACATAGTTTATAAATTCCCAAACCAGGAATTCAGACCCTTAGAGCCTGACCAGAGACGCTCACGCTATTGCTGAATGCTCAGTCCTGCCCCAGGTGCTTAAAAGTATGGGTGTGAGAGGTGGTCATGAGGAAAAATAAAGAGGAGCAAAATAATACAGAAAGTGCTCTTCCACTCTGCTTTCGGTTCCCTTCCCTTCCTGAACAAAGTAGTCATGAAGAGATTAGGTGGGACAGAAAGAGGTAGGAATCTGTACTGTGAGAAGTGGAGAGCCATAGCTCAGAACCCAAGGAAGGAAGAACAGTTAGAATTCCTTACACTTGGTCCTTCTCAGCTGAGTTCACAACTCACCTCCTGAAATCTAGAGAAATTCATCACTGTAAGCATCTTCTTTGGTATACTGGTATACTGCCAGAGAGGAAGATGAAAAGCTTGGGAAGTAAATAGAAGAGGGCGTGAGAAAGGAAGAGAGGAAAGGGCATGAGAGGGTGTGGTCTTGCAGCTCCATACGGTCTCATCCACACATATGATCAGATCTTACCTCAACTCAGGGCTGAGCCACAATCCTCTGTTGGAGACAAAATTTTTAACTCACTCCAGTTTGGGCTTCCTCCTTTTCATGATGAAGTCTTTTATGAAAGAAACAAAAAGAGTATATACAAAGGATTGAAGAGGATTTAGCTTCCCAAACTCAAGCAGATGTTTAAATCCCACAGTCTTAGGTTGATGGTTAATGTATTAAAGGTGATATAATAATTTTGCTATTTAGGTGGTGGGCCCAGTGGGAGGTCTTTAGGCCACTGGGGGCTTCTCCTTGGAAGGCGGTTTTACGAGAGAGTTGGTTATTTAGGGGTTGGGCCTAGCTACTCTTGCTCTGCTTCCTGACTCACAAGTAGCCATTCTCGATGCATGTTCTGCCATTGCCAGCCTCCACCAGATGCCAAACAAGTGGGCTGCCTGCTTGGACCATGAGCCTCCCAAAACTCTAAGACAAAATAAACCTTTTCCTCTCAGGATCTCAGTTAAAGTAATGAAAAACTGATAATGTATATAGGAAGCTAATTTCAATCCTAATCCTTATCCTTATTTCAAATGTTAGCTTCATGTGTAAAAAGAGTTCTAACATGCCGGTGCCACGGCTCAATAGGCTAATCCTCCACCTGCGGCACCGGCACACCAGGTTCTAGTCCCGGTCGGGGCACCGGATTCTGTCCTGGTTGCTCCTCTTCCAGGCCAGCTCTCTGCTGTGGCCTGGGAATGCAGTGGAGGATGGCCCAGGTCCTTGGGCCCTGCACCTGCATGGGAGACCAGGAGAAGCACCTGGCTCCTGGCTTCAGATCAGCACAGTGCGCCGGCCGCAGTGCACCGGCCGCGGCGGCCATTAGAGGGTGAACCAATGGCAAAAAGGAAGACCTTTCTCTCTGTCTCTCTCTCTCTCACTGTCCACTCTGCCTGTCAAAAGAGAAACCACATATCCAAGGAGTTCTTAACCAAAATGAATGAGGTGGGTGAATGAGCTGCTGTCCCTGTTTGTGTTGAGTTGTTGTTGATGTTCTTCATTGTGATCCTAAGTCCACAGCTCATAATTGATCTGAAATTGCCAAATCATAGTAATCCTGGGCTCCAGTGGCTAATGAGGATATGTGATAATATTGCAAAGGAAGTACTACAGATTGTACTACAGCAGATGTGTTTAAGTGCCACTTAAAATGCTTTCCTTATCATTACCTGGAAAACTTTGTTGGTGCCTTCTGGTAAGATTAAGAAAGTAAGAAAGTTCCCACACAAAACCTGCAGAATACATATCAGAGACTTGGAAGAAGGTCCCAGAGACTAGAGTACACCTTTAAGGAATGCACAGAAGAACAATAGGCAGATGTTGGGGATGAAATTCTGTCATAAGAAAGCACTGAGTTATGTAACTAGCAGTATATTTTCTTTCTTGATGGTACATAAAATAATTACATATCAAAATTGAGGGATCTTAGATTTGAGGGAATGCAGCAATCAACTCTTGTTCATCCAGAGGTGATTGACAGATTGCATATTTTGGAGGAAAAAAATCACTCTAACAAAGCAAAAATATCCATATATCAGAGGATAGATTAGTAAGTGGCTTACAATTTGGAGAGTCACAGTCCAAGATGGGGTAGCCTATTAGTTCAAGCATCTGGTGAGGTCAAGGGATTGCTGAGGGATGATCACATGGTAAGCCAGGAGGTAGAGAGAGAAGCTAAATTGAATTCAGCTTAAATAACCAACCCCCTCAAGACAGCCATCTTGGAAGCACAAGCCCTCAGTATCCTAAGGAATTCCCACTGGGCTTATCTTCTAGCTATCATAGTTAGATCAAGTCTCCATCCCTAATCCATTAACCACTAGCATAAGATTTTGGGGACTAAGCCCCCAATACATGGGCCTTTGGGAGTATATCCAGCTATTATACAAACCATAAGAGAGGGTGTATTTAATATTTACAGAATCTCACTGATCTTTAGATGCCTACATAGCCACTAGGACTAGGGAATGCTCTTCCCAGTACCCCTTCCCTGATGTGGCCTCTAGAAACCCTTGGATCTGAGAAGAAGTCCTCTGGAAAGCACTGAGCAGATGATCTTCCAGGAGAGCAGGTGTAGCTGTGGAATCAGGAAACACAGTGGGGAGGAAGAAATTAAGGAAAGGAAGGGATTCAGGGGGATTTGCAGTCATGACTGGGTCTGGCCTCCTCATCCCTTTTGAACCCTGTAGCAAAGGTGAAGTCAGCTAAAGAGCAGAAAATGTAACAGGCTCTTTTACCATCTTACATCTGCTGTGATGTTTGTTTCTGAATATTTGTCTTGGAATTAGTTTGACACTTTTGGGTTGAGTGTTTATAGATTGTAAACGCATGCTGATTCTCACTAGTTTTGTTGTAACTAATTTGATGTGATTTGTGCACTGCACCACTGTCTTGCAACCTCTCCAATGATCTGAGTTAATTAGTGGAGATGGCACTGTTCTTAAGACAGACAAATAGTTCTGTGAAAAGAATTTTGGTCACACACACACACACACACACACAACACCACCATACACTATGTCATTGGTTCAAGTTAAACCATTGATTGTCTATCAAATTAACTATTACTTCATTTATTCTCAATAGGAGATAGTTTTAAAGTTTTGGTATATGTCTTTCTAGTTTTAGAAATAGATTTTTAACTTAATGCATATATATATATATGAGGCTTATCAAAAAATTCAAGGAAAATTCATATGAAAAAAATGCAGGAATTTCAAAATTTTTATACCAAAATAAACTTACCTCTTTTTAAAAATAAGTGATTTTTTTTATAAGCTTTTTATAAAATTTTTTTGAAAGAGTTACAGAGAGAGAGGGAGAGACAGAGGGAGAGAGATCTTCCATCCACTGTTTCGCTTCCCAGGTGGCCATTAACAGTTGGGGCTGGACCAGGAAGAAGCCAGGTATAAGGAGTTTCATCTAGGTCTCCCATGTGAGTGCAGGGGCCCAAGTACTTGGGCCATCTTCTGCTACTTTTCCTGGGCCATTAGCAGGGAGCTGGATAGGAAGTAGAGCTGGGACGTGAACCTGCACCCATATGGGATGCTGACATTGCAGGCAGAGGCTTTATCCACTATGCCACAATGCTGGCCCCTAAACTTATCTTTTAGTTATATATTCTATGTACTTTTTGAAATACCTGTGTGTATCATATATTCAAATCATAAAATATAATGTATTAAATTTTGCCACAACATTAAATATTTTTCTTTTTAAAATAATTTTTTAAATATTTATTTATTTGAAAGGCAGAGTTACAAAGAAATGGAGGCAGAGAGAGAGAGAAGAGAGAAGGGAGGAGAGAGGAGAAAGAGAGAGAGAGAGAAGTCTTCCATCCACTGGTTCACTCCCCATGGCTAGAGTTGGGCTGATCTGAAGCCAGGATCCAGGAACTTTTTCCAGGTCTCCCAGGTGGGTGCAGAGACCCAAGGACTTGGGCCATCTTCTACTGCTTTCTCAGGCCATAGCAGAGAGCTGGATCAGAAGTGGAGTAGCCGTAACTCGAATTGGCCTTACCAACTACGCCACAGAGCCAGCCCCTTAAACAATTTTTATTTTTTTATTTTTATTTATTTATTTATTTATTTTTGACAGGCAGAGTGGACAGTGAGAGAGAGAGACAGACAGAAAGATCTTCCTTTGCCATTGGTTCACCCTCCAATGGCCACCACGGCCGGCGCACCGCGCTGATCCGAAGCCAGGAGCCAGGTACTTATCCTGGTCTCCCATGGGGTGCAGGGCGCCCAAGCACTTGGGCCATCCTCCACTGCACTCCCTGGCCACAGCAGAGAGCTGGCCTGGAAGAGGGGCAACTGGGACAGAATCCGGTGCCCCGACCAGGACTAGAACCCGGTGTGCCAGCACCGCAAGGCGGAGGATTAGCCTAGTGAGCCGTGGCGCCGGCCACAATTTTTATTTATTTATAAGACAGAGAGACAGAGTGAGAGAAAGAGAGAGAGGGAGGGAACGAAAGGGGAAGAGAGAGAGGCAGATATTTTCTATCTGCTGGTCACTCCCCAAATTGCCTGCAGTAGCTAGGAGCCAAGAACTCCATCTCAGTCTCCCATGTGGGTGGCAGGGACCCAAGTCTTTGGGCCATCACCTGCTGCCCTCTGGGGTACACATCAGCAGGAAGCTGGATTAGAAATGGAGTGAAGACTTGAATCCAGGCACCCCAATATGGGATGTGGACGTCCCAAGCAGGATCTCAATTGCTGAGGCAAATGCCCACTCCAACATTAAATATTTTTAAAAATAGCTATTACTAATCATGATGTGGAGCCTTTTGAAACATCAAAATCTCTTGTATGATGTGTGCTAACTTCACTGTGCACAACGGTTAAAATGATGTTTGAGAAACGGTTTTCTTTTCAAGGAAGCAAATTGGCTCAGGGTTCTCACTCTGACAACTCCTTGTACTTGGTTTTGCTTTCTTTGGGGAAGGGTAGAGAAGAGCAGCCTGAGAATCAGCTCAGCCCTCTTATTTAGGGATTCATGTTCACTGAGATATTAATTTTTATGGTTCAAAATAATTCTTATTTATATGAACTAGAATATTAATTTTGTTTCCATAATAATTTTATCCTTAGATCAGTTTCTAAAATAAGCTTATTGAGGTATAATTCATATACCATTAAATTCACTCATTTATAGGGTACAGTTCAATCAATTATTTTTAGTATATTTACACAGTTTTATAACCATCACCATAATCCAACTTCAGAACATTTTCATGATTAGACATGGATATATCTTTAATTTATTTAAGTTTTTATTTATTTGAGAGGCACATGGACACACACACACACACACACAGAGAACACACTCCAAACACCTATAATGGCTGGGGGTGGGCCAGGCTAAAGTTGGGAGCCAGAAACTCAATGCAGGTTTCCCATGTGGGTGGCAGGGACCCAATTACTTGTGCCATCAACACTGTTTTCCAAGGTCTATATTAGCAGGATGTTGGAGTCAGGAGCCAGAGCCAGTTAACAAACCCAGGTACCATGATGCGGGCCATGGATGGCTTAACTGGCATCTTAACTGTTCAGCTAAACGCTGCCCTTGTCCTTATTTCTCTTAACTAGTGCTTTTTTTCCTCCCTTCGATCATTTTATATTTTAAAAAAGATGCATTTATTTGAGAGCAGAGTTAGAGAGGGCAAGAGGGAGAGAGGGCGAGGGAGAGAGAGAGAGGGAATCTTTCATCCACTGGTTCACTCCCCAGATGGCTGCAAAGGCTGGAGTTGGGCCCATCTGAAGCCAGGAGCCTCCTCAGGTCCCCCACATGGGTAGAAGGGCCCAAGGACTTGGGCCATTTTCTGTTGCTTTCCCAGGCTCATCGGCAAGGAGTTGGATTGGAAGTGGAACAGCCGGGACTTGAACCAGCACCCATATGGGATGCCAGTACTTCAAGTGGCAGCTCTACCTGCTATGCCACAGCACCAGCCCCTCATTTTAGTCTTTTTGCGTAAAATCTATGATTTTTCCAGTTTCAGTTGAATGGATTTATTTGAACCAAAAATAAATCTATCATTTAATTAACGAACTAGCAGTTTCATTAGATCGTACTTTTCTGCAGATTTGCAATATACTTTTCTTTCTTCCTCTTTTTTTAAAAAAAGATTTAGTTATTCATTTGAAAGGTAGAGTTACAGAGAGATGGACGGAGAGAGAGAGAGAGAGAGAGAGATAGAGAGAGAGAGAGAGAGAGAGAGAGAATCTTCCATCTCCTGGTTCACTCCCCAAATGACCATGATGAGTGGAGCTGGGGTCAGTCCGAAGCCAGGAGCCAAGAGCTTCTTCCAGGTGCAGGGGCCCAACTTGAGCCATCTTCCGCTGCTTTCTCAGGCACATTAGCAGGGAGCTAGATCAGAAGTGGAGCAACTGGGAATCAAACCTGTGCCCATATAGGATGCTGGCATTGCAGGCAGTGGCTTCATCCACTACACCACAATGCTGGCCCCCTTGCACTAGAATTTTCATTTGGAAAAGTTTGTTGGCTACTTTTAATAGAAGAAAAAAAGGTAGAGAGATTCCATATTAAATCTGATTGTAGACCAGAAACCGATGCCAGTTGTGCAACATGGAAACCAAGCACAAGAAGCAGTGTAGCGTGTGATTTCCAGGAGTGGAGCTCCCTCTGCCCTAGACATCCCATGATGTCCCAGAACTTCCCATGGTATTTCAGAATGTTGGTAGAGATAAAGAACCAAAAGATAAGCTTAGAAATGGGCATTTATCCTAGTGGTTAAGATGCTGACTAGGATGTTTGTGTATTATTTCAGAGTGCCTATGTTTATTACCTGCATCTGGCTCTTGACTCCAACTTCCTGTTAATACATACCATTGGAAGATCAATTGATTGAGTTCCTGCCACCCACATGTGAGACATGGATTGAGTTCCCAACTCCTGGCTTCAGCCCAGCCCAGTCCTGGCCATTGCAGCCATTTGGAGAGTGAATCAGCAAATATGAGCTCTGTCAGTCTCTCTGCCTCTCAAATGGAAAAAAAAATAAGATAAGGTTATTTTGGTTCAAAAACAAATTTGAACAGGTTGGTATTTGGTGTAGCAGTTAAAGAAGTGTCTTGGAATGCCAACATTTCATCTCAGAGTACCTGTGTCAAGTTCCAGCTAAGCTTCTAATTCCACCTTTTTGCTAATCCACACCTTGAGAGACAAAAGGTGATGGCTAAACTACTTGGGTCCCTACCCATGTATTGGAGAATTGGATTGAGTTCCTGGCTCCTGGCTTTGGCCTGGCCCAGTTCTATATATTGTGGGCATTTGGGAAGTGAAACATTGGATTGAAAATCTCTATCTCTCTGCCTTTCAAACAAATGAAAACACACACACACACAAGTTTTGAAAACCAGGCTAGTTTTTTCATAATATTGATTTCCCATGAACTTTTTGAAGGCTGAGAACAATATGGAAATGGAGAATGTTCACATTTGGTGGTGTTAGGCTGTGTTTATTTTCCCAGGAATAAATGCAATAATCTGGAATTTTTTGGAAATTTGATGGCTGAGTGTTAGTAGGAATTGGGAAGAGCCAGCATTGAATTATTCCACATGGCTTTCTGCCTGTCTTATTCAGAGGGATGTCTAAAAACGTCCCTAAAATGCTTTGTATTTTAAAAAAAGTTTTTAAAAGATTTATTTATTTATTTTAAAGGCAGAATGGCACAGAAAGAGATCTTCTATCAACTAGTTCACTCCCAAAATGACTGTAACAACCAGGTCTGGGTCAAGCTCAAGCTACGGGCCAGGAACTCTCTCCTGGTCTCTTATATGGAAGGCAGCTGGCCATCTTCCACTGCCTAATTAGGTAGATTAACAGGAAACTGGATCAGAAGTGGAGTAGCTGGGTCTTAAACTGGCATTCAACATGGATGCTGGTGTTGCAAGTGGTGGCTTTACCTGCTGCACCACAATACCAGCTCCCTCTATAGATGTTTGCTATTTACCATTCTCAAGTGGTCTTTTCCCTCTAATATTTTTATAAACATTTTTCAAAACTATGACAAAGTTGAAATAATTCTATAGTAACATCTGTATATCCAACATCTAGATTCTTATGTGATTTTAAAAATGTTTAACTGTAATTACATGATATTTCTTAAATGAGACCATTTACCTGTCACTGTTGAAACTATTCTCTATGCCAGTTGGTGCTTTGAGGGTAATTCTTCATGGGACTTTGAAGTACAGCATTTACCTAAATTATTTTTTCCATGATTCTTAACATATTAATAAACGTATTTTTAGGACAGACAGGTCCATCAGAGTTCTAGCTTGAACTTTTTAGAAGGGCTCTCTGCATTCAGGATCTTTTCTGTCCAATTTCAGTAATTAAAAATAGCCATCTTCCTACAAATTTACTCAATTCTCAGTCACTTATGGAAGAAAATTGGGGTGACAGGAAAAATCAGGATTTAAACATAATCCATAAAATATTTTTTTATTTCAAACTCAACCTGTCAATGAGCTTATTGTTAAGAAAAAGAAATTCAGCCACCAAGTATTAAGTGCTTGAGCTTTCCTGGTTATTCAGTTGAGGTACAAGAAATGAAACTATGAAGAAAAGAGGAAAAGGGAAGAAAAATAGACATTCTGCCCTCAAATTATTAGAATTAACTGATTGATTAATTAAGTATCCTTCTCTCTCAGGTTCATAGCCAAGTTGCAGTAACCAGACAACCACTTACTTAAAGATGAGGCTGAAAAGATCTCTGGGAATCTCCTGGATGTTGATCAACTAGGAGAATAACCTCCAAATAGCACGTCTCCACTTGTTCACATTTCTTTAGCAGGTTGGTTTCTGTCTTCAGGGCAGGCAACTAACCCTGTGGTAAAATAAGTGCAGGCCAGACCACCCTGGGCATTGTTCTATTGCTCCTGCATCACAATGTGGTGACATAGTCTACCCAGAGAGAGTAGCCACTGAGGTGGTATCCTCAGCATTTCCTGGGCTCAGGTGGCAGTTCTAGCAATGTGGAGTTGTTAGGAGCTTCCGTAGAGAGAAAAGTCAATTTAGCAATAGAACCATGGAAAAGATAACACAGAAAAAGTTAAAAATACTTTATATCACATATCATTCAGTTGATAATACATTATTCAATCACCTATATCCTAGTTTTTATTGATTTAACATGCTTATTGCACCTTGGGCCTCTGTGAAGAAAGGTTTTAAAAGAATATAGTATTATTCGAGGCAACTCTGCTTAGAAAGACAATGAAGGCTGGACATTTAGCTTACCCATTTTATCTTCATCTCTACGGCATCCAGTGTGTTCTAGACATGTTCTGTCATAGGCATTCAGTAATTGTTGGGTGAATGAATGAATATGGATAGCTTCTCCCTGGAGGTATCCTCTCTCTTGAGACTATTTGGTTCCTTGTCCTTGCCTTTTGGTGTGTTTCAGACTCTCCCCTTTCATAGTATCCTTCTTCATTTCTGTGTTTCAGTCAAGTCTGCAGATGCTCACCTACCTACAACCTACCATCAAGGAGGTCTAGCTACCTCCTTGTCTGTGCACAAGGATGGAAGAACACAGCGGGATACTAGCTGACCACTCAGAATGAGGGAGAGCATTACTTTGCTGAATCTTCTCATCTGGGGTCACTTTCTTATAACAGGGTCCAGAAATATTTGTTGCAGACTAGACATGAAATACCAGTTTTGGAAGGATGGTAACATACCTATTGTCTCAAGAACCATAACTTCCAGTTGGGGCCAGGTATGGATGTCAGGAGACCATGGCACCCACTCCTACAGTATGTCTTTCAGGAAGTTTTCCTGGGAGCAGAGTTGAGGGCAGGGTATGTAGCTTGGCTATTCAGTGATATCTGTCTCTGGTGTCAGAGCTCAGGGCATATAGCAGGTTCAGTGTGAAGGCAAGGGAAGCCTGTCCCCATGCAGGCCTGAGGGGTTCTTCTGTTATTTTTTGTCTCAGATGCTGTGAGCCCCATGTTATATGCAGAGCACCACCTTTTTGATGGGCAGATTCTTCTTCCAGTCATGCCCTGGTAATTGACTAGGTTTCTAGCCATCCATTTCTTCATTCAGCAATTTATTGCATGACCACCACTTGTTATGTTCCTATTCTTCCTGCCAAGGACCAGGAAACATTTTTGCATAAATCTGATATCACTTCTTCAGTATTGATAATATTGATTTGATTCTGAGTTGTCTTGATGAAATCCTTTAGTATTATCTTTCATTTTTTTGAGGCAATTGATACATCAAAGTGTACAGCTATAATGCAAGAGGGAATTAAGAATTTGTCCTTATCCCTCCTGGGAGGGTTCTTTGTTTGTGCCTGCATAGGATTCTCCCTGCTGCATGTGCTAAGCTTGGAACAGGAAGGATTCCTGCCACATTCTATCTCTGGCTCCCATAGCCGGGTGCTATGCCAGATCAGTGCTGCTGGCCAGTTCTGTAATGAGCATGTACTTCTTACTGGGCAGTATGCCAGATGGGCTTCAAAGAGGAACAGTCTCTGCCCTCAGAGAACGTATCATGAAATCAGGGAGGGGCATGTTATAATATTTCATGTGATGCAGTGATGAGATTGAGTGTGCACGGGGACTCTGGGAGCACAAAAGCAGGGCACTTTGTTCAATCTGGGGATTTAGCGAAGTCTTCTAGACTCAAGTCAATTTATTTTAAAATATTTTACTTACTTGAAAGGCAGAATTACAAAAAGAGGGAGAGAGAGATGGAGATGGGAGGGAGAGGGAGAGCTTCCATTCACTGATTTATGCCTTAACGGGCTGGGTTAGGCCGGAACTAGGAATCTGGAACTCCTTCTGGGTCTTCCACGTGGGTGGAAAGGACCCAAGCACGTGGACCATCTTCTACTGCTTTCCCAGGTGCATTAGCAGGGAGTTGGATAGGAAGCGGTATAGCTGGAACTTGAATCAGTGCTAATATGCGGTGATGGCATCACAGGCAGTGACCCAACATGCTGTGCCACAACTTTGGTTCTCAAGTCAAACCTTGAAAGATTACCCAGTCTGAGCAAGGACACAGAGGCATAAAATGACAGGATTTGAGGTGGTAACTGCAATGGTCTGATGTTACATAAAATAGGAGAAGAGAAAAAAGTGAAGCTGGAGGAAGGAGAGACTAGAATGGGGGGGGCGGTTGAATGTCATAACTGGACACTGGGACCTCATCAGCTGCAGTGGTTTTCTAGTAGAGTTTTACAGGAGGGTTTTATGTTCTGGTTGATCATTCTGATAGCAGTGTGCAGGACAGATTTGGAGAGGGCAATCTTTGAAGCACAACGACTAACGAGTGGGAATGGAAAGGAGGGGGTTAATTTAGGAACTATTGGTAGACTCAGAATTTGGTGACTCATTGGATGGGGGTAGTGAGAAGTAAGATGACTCAGAAATTTCTGGGTTGGGAAGCAGTGAATGATGGTGCCATTAACCAGGAAACAAAATATAGACAGAGGAACAGGTGTAGGAGGCAGAGAAAAGCAGTTGCATGTCTGTCAGAACTTTTGTTTAGCATGACACCTTGTAGTCAACAGGTGACTAGTAAATAATTGACTGTTTTTTCCCCACAGAATCCTTTTATTTAATGACTACAATTTTCATAAGTACAACTTTAGGAATATAGTGATTCTTTTTTTTTTTTTTTGACAGGCAGAGTGGACAGTGAGAGAGAGAGACAGAGAGAAAGGTCTTCCTTTGCCGTTGGTTCACCCTCCAATGGCCACCGCGGCCGGCGTGCTGTGGCCGGTGCACCACGCTGATCCGATGGCAGGAGCCAGGTACTTATCCTGGTCTCCCGTGGGGTGCAGGGCCCAAGTATTTGGGCCATCCTCCACTACACTCCTGGGCCACAGCAGAGAGCTGGCCTGGAAGAGGGGCAACCAGGACAGAATCCAGCGCCCCAACTGGGACTAGAACCTGGGGTGCCGGCGCCGCAAGGCGGATGATTAGCCTAGTGAGCTGCAGCGCCAGCCCAAGGAATATAGTGATGCTTTCCACCAAACCCTCCCTCCCACACCTCCTCCTCTTCCCTCTCCCATTCCCAGTCCCTTTCTCCACTAAGATCCATTTTTGATTAACTTTAAACACAGAAGACCAACTCTATACTAAGTAAAGATTTTAACAATTTGCACACACACACACAATATTTGAGAAAAACTTTTACAGTTAATTCTCATAATACAGCTCATTGAGGACAGAAGTCCTGCATGGGAAGTAAGTGCACAGTGACTCCTGTTGTTAATTTAACAATTAATACTCTTAATGTATGACATCAGTGATTGCCCGAGGCACTTGACATGAGCTGCCAAGTCTATGGAAGCCTTTTGAATCCACAGTCTCTATCAGTATTTAGATAAGGCCATAAGCAAAGTGGAAGTTCTCTCCTCCCTTCAGAGAAAAGTACCTCCTTCTTTCATGGCTACTTCTTTTCACTGGGGTTTCTCTCAGAGATTCTTCATGTAGGATTTTTTTTTTTTTTTTTTTTTTTTTTTTTTTTGCCACAGTATCTTGGCTTTCCATGCCTGAAATACTCTCATGGGCTTTTCAGCCAGACCAGAAGGCCTTAAGGACTGACTCTGAGTCAGAGTGCTATTTAAATTGATTGCCATTCTATGAGTCTGCTGTGTGGACTGCTTCCCATGTTGGAACATTCTCCCCTTTTTAATTCTATCTATTATTATTACCAGATATTTGACCTTATTTATATGTTCCTTTTAATAATTAATCTTATCTATATGATCATTTTAACACTTAATATTGTCACTTTAACACTTAAGATGACATTTTTACCACCCAGCTTAATGGGATTTGGGGTCCCATGGCAAGTTTTTAAAATGTACCATTGAAAGTAAGTCCATAGGAATGTATGCAGAACTATACAGGTTTACAGTTACAAACTTCCTCCTCTCTCTCTTATTCCCAATCTTATTTTTTACTGAGATCTATTTTCAATTGACTTTATACACAAATGATTAACTCTATGTTAGTAAAGAGTTCAACAAATAGTATGAAGAAGAGAAAAAGAAAAAACTGTTCCTCAACAGTCAAGAAAAGGGCTGTTCAAGTCATTGCTTCTCAAAAAGTGGCAATTTTACTTCTACAGATTTCCTTTTAGGTGCTCTAAAAGTTATCACAGATCAGGGAGAACATATGGTATTTGTCCCTTTGGGACTGGCTTATTTCACTAAGTATGATGTTTTCCAGATTCAACCATTTTGTTGCAAATGACTGCATTTCATTTTTTACCACTGTGTAGTATTCCATAGAGTACATATCCTATAATTTCTTTATCTAGTCTTCAGTTGATAGGCATTTAGGTTGATTCCATGTCTTAGCTATTGAGAATTGAGCTGCAATAAACATGGGGGTGCAGATAACTCTTATTTGCTGATTTCATTTCCCTTGGGTTGTTTGTTTTGTTGTTGTGACTGTTTTCTTTATTAAACTGGCAGTGGATTATATATATTATGGCATCATATCCAAAAGCCTATAGATTGGTGAGCATGGTCTGAGACAGTTTTCCTCTGCTGTGTTTCTGATCACATCCACTGTTCTTTGCAACTCCTGCCCCATCATACTTATCTCCTTTCTTTCTTTTTAAAACTTTTATTTAGTAAATATAAATTTCCAAAGTACAGCTCATGGATTACAATGGCTTCCCCCCCCCCACCATAACTTCCCTCCTACCCACAACCCTCCCATCTCCCACTTGCTCTCCCATTCCATTCACAACAAGATTCATTTTCAATTCTCTTTATATACTGAAGATCAATTTAGTATATATTAAGTAAAGATTTTATCAGTTTGCACCCACACAGAACATAAAGTGTAAAATAATGTTTCGGTACTAGTTATAGCAT